CCGCAGGGACTCACCAGAGGAGCCATGGCCCAGGGGATGACGGAGCCAGACACCGCTGGCTCTCTGGGGCTCTGCCTGAAGCCCACCAGCCACGAGTGGCCACCATCTGGGTGGGCCCTGGAGCCACCTGGCAGCAGCACCCAGAGCAGGGACAGGGCCCGGGAACCCCGGAGGCAGCAGGACTGCACAGACAGTCGGTCACCGCACGACGGGGAGGCTGGGATGGATCCAGCAGGGATGGACCCGAGGCAGGGATGGATCTGAGGCAGGGATGGATCCAGCCACTGTGGGTGCTACCCCCCACCTCCTCCATGCATGGGCTCCCACCCCTCCATGGCGCACGGCTGCTGCAGCCCCTCAGCCAAGCAAAGGGTGAAAAGACTTTTAGAAGCAGCTCCCAGCCCTGCCGAGAGCATGGGGCTGTTCAGAGAGCACCGGGAGCACGGAGCCTCATCGGGTCCCCATCAACCTGCTGACACACGGCCCTGCGCCAGCGGGAGAGACGGGGGATGCCAGCACCCACCGTGAGACAGGGGTGGCACCGAGCCGCCCACCAGCCCACTGCAACTCCTGGCCAAGCCCTGGAAACCAGCTGGACTGGGAAAGGAGCATCTGGCCCCCATGGCCCCGGTACCACTGGGGGAGCACAGGGCGGGCAGTGGGTGAGAGCCGGCAGGGCCCTGCGTGCCAGGGCAGTGCCAGGGGTGGGGACGTGTTTGCAGATATAAATCACCGTTGGGAGCAACGCGGAAGAGCCGGGGAACGGGCTCTGCGCAGCACCAAGCCGGCGATTAAATATTTACCTTAGCCAGTTGTGTTTGCCAGTGATGGATCGGCGTTTCCAGGGAGGAGCTCGCTTTTGTTCAAACACGGTCCCCGGTGGGAGACAGGGCCACCAACCACGTCAGTCCCTGGGGACATCGGCCTGACAGGCACAACCACGGCTCCCGTGGCAGCAGCACAGTAAAGAGGTGCTTACAAGGCTCACATTTTTTGGGGGGGGGCAGGAACAAACCAGGTTTAATTTCTGGAAGGTGAAGGAAGAAACTGAAGAAGGACCCTGGGGGCTGCCCCGGGGGTTGCAGCACCTGTCAGGGCCTGAAGTGCAAAGTACAAACACAGCATTTCGAGTGTTGGCACAGAGCAGAAACGTGTCTTTCTGCCCCAGGAACGCGTGTGAGTGCGCCGAGGTGAGGCTTGTATTAAAAAGTGAGCTACAAAAGGCTTTAAAAAGTGAACCTGTCCCCAAATAAATAAATCACTGACTCGTGCCCGTGCCATGCCCCGGTGCCTGGCCATGCCGAGGTCCCTCGTGCTGGGGGCTGTCACCAGCACCCTTTGCCCACCTCGCTGTCCCGCCATGGGGCTGTTCTGTGCGGGGCCACCCGGGGAGATGGCAAAATGCTTTTGGCTGTGCCTGGCCCTGTGGGGATCCTCTTCCTGGAGGCCTGTGGGGCATGGTGTCCCCAGGACTGGGATGGGGCAGGAGCACAGTGTCCCCAAGCCCTGTCCAAAGGGGACAGGGATGTTTCCCAGCAGCTGTACATGGGGCTGCGGGGTGAGAGCAGGGGACAGTCACTGGGAGAGGGCGAGCAGCGTCCTCGTGCCCATCAGGACCTGCCCAGCTCCCGCATGGGGACGTGCTTTTGGGTTCCTCTGCGTCCTGGTGGTGCTGGTGGTCTCCACTGCCAGCCCCCTGCCAGCTCTCCGCTGCCCCCAGCACTCGCCGGGGCAGCACCCAGCCCCCTGTCCCCGCAGCAGAGAGGGGACCCACCGGTCAGTGCTGCTACGTGCCATGGGGCAGGAATGTGACGTTGCCCTCCGTGTCCAGGCACAGCCCCTGGCTGCCCTCGGGCCCCGGCACCGAGCACCCGCCACCACCCTGGTCCTTCGGCAGCGTCCCCTCCAGCACCCGCCGGTTGTCCATGTCCCTGGGGTGGGTGACAGGCGAGTCCTGGTCCCCAGGGTCAGGTGACAGGTGCTCGGTGTCGGCCAACTCTGAGTCGTCTGTGGCTGGTGTCTTGGAGCCACTGTTGTCCTCATCCAAGGGGCTCTCGGCCCCCTCTGGCTCCGTGTCCAACTCACCCTCCTCCTCCTCCTCCAGCGTCAGCTCGCACTGGTACTTGTCGGTGGTGCCGGGGGACACTCCGGGTCCCTCGGGCGGTGGGGACGGGCTGCGCGGGATCATGCTCTGGTACCATTCCCGGTTGTCCTCCAGCGTGTCCAGGATCTCCTGGGCATCGGGGTGCACCAGATCGGCCCACGTCTCCCACAGCGGGTGGGCGATGAAGTCGATGAAGCCCACCTGGGGAAAGGGGCAGAGCTGAGCCCCCCCCTGCCTGGCCCTGTGCCCCCCCTTCCCTCCCCGGCCCTGCTCCGCTGCCCCACCTGCGACTTCTCCACGGAGGCGGTGTGCTTGTCGCACATGGGGCTGATCTCCATCCCCTTCTCCCGCTCCCAGTCACCTTGGCGGAAGAACTCCACCATGATGCGGTCGGTCCACTGCCGGTAGAGCTCCAGTGGCTTTGTGGGGTTGCTGAGGTCGGCGCAGTGCACCATGTTCTGCAGAACCTGCGGACACAGTCACCGCGTCGCTTACCCGAGTCCTTTGTCTCTCAGGGCCACCATCCCTGTGCCAGGAACCCCCTTGACCGTGGCCAGCTGGGGTTGGGAGGGGTGGTGGCACCCAGCAGGACATCCTGGCAGCCCTGGCCGAAGCCAGGACCAACGCTGGCCATGCCAAGAAGGTTTCCCCACTTGTGTCCCTGTGCCCACCTGGATCCGGTCAGAGTAGTTGTCCAGCAGCAGCACCCCCAGGCTGGTCACCTTCTTGGTCTCCACCATAGTTTTCAAATCCGCCAGCAGATTCATGTGCTTGGACATGTCCGTGGCCAGCACCTGGGCAGGGCAGGTTGAGAACAGGGCTCAGCCTAACCCCATCACAAAGCCCCCCAGCCCAGGCCCCCCACCCTGGGGTGGTCCAGGCCCCCCACTCCCCGTACCATGTCGATGGCCATTTTACGGAGCGACTGCCTCTGCTTCTTGCTCAGGTTTTGGAAGATGTCGCAGTTCTCCTCCTGGAGAAGCTTGAAGCCCACGGCCAGGTGGTGGTTCTCCAGCACCGAGGCGTCATTGTACATCAACGCCAGCTCCGAGTCTGCGAGATGTCACCAGTCACCTCGGGGTTCCCCCCACACCCCCCAGCTCCATCTCTGCACCCCAGCTCACTGGTGTTGATGAGGAACTGGTTGGAGACACCGGGGTGGTCAACATCATGGATGGCGCTGGCAAAGATGGCAGCCATGATCTCCAGATCTGTGAAGACAGCCTAGAAATGGTGGAAAAAGGTATTGCAGATGCGTTATGGCCCCACCAGACACACTTGGTGGCCTCAGTGGCCTTGGGCAACCAGGGCTCACCTCCAGCGCGGGCGTGGAGAGGAGGACGTGGGTGGACTGAGCCACGTCGGCGGCGTGGATGTTGTTGTGGTAGGCCACGTCAGCGTGGTAGTGGTCCTCCAGCGTCAGCATGTAGGTGATGAAGGTGTTGACGGGGATGCGGAAGGTCTTCATCAGGTCACGCTCCTGTGGGGAGGCGGGAGGTGGCTCGTCCCCATCCAGGCACGGGGACAGGGACGGGGACACCCCCTCGGGGGCTCACCTGGAAGATGCTGTACATGATGACCGTCAGTGGGCGGTTGCCCGAATACTCGGCGACTTTAAACACGTTGAGTCCCCACTTGTTGGTGTCCTCCAGCTCCTGGGGACCAGAGGGACAGAGGTCCGTGCTGGGGGTCAGCACTGGGGACCCCACAGCTGGCCGGGTCACCCGCACAGGGCTCACCTTGGCCAGCAGCTCCTCCTGGTCCGTCCGCACCCCAAAGCGGGGGATGGCGGCGAGGCTGGAGCCGTGC